CAAGATGCATTATATAAAGGTACAATTCCCAATGAGAAATGTAATTGTGTTGTATACCTACAATGTACCAATAAAAGAATTTAATACAAAAATAAAAAAATAAAGTCCATGAGGGCAATGACTGTGTATCTTACTCATTTAATGTAACTGATGTGATGCCTAATATAGTAGGACAGTAAATATTTAGCAGTTGAAGAAATTAGTACATGTTATACCAGCGTCCCAAGAGCTCATGTGTTAAACTGTGAGAAACTTTTTATCTCTCAGGCCCAGTAACACGTCTCTTTCAAGGCAAAGGAGAAAATACCATATCAGTCAAGGCTTCTGACTTTTTCTCCAAGCTAGTCTCCAAGACTCATAGTAAAGAACTTAGCAGCTGAAAAAGAACGCTATTCTCAATTGGGGTGAGAATTATTGACCTCTTTGTGACTATGATGAAAATTATGGCCTTTCTCAGACAAAAGAACACACAGACAAAACTGTATACAATTTCAGTAAGTTCATGACCCCTTTAAACTATGTATCTGAAGTTAAGATGCTGACAAGTGAACTGCAGCTAGAGAAAGGGTATAGTCACCATACTATCCTTCTCATATTCAAAGTAATACTGACTAGCGAACAATAAGAGCTTGCTTTGGATATAACACCAAGGGGGCAAATATGGTGCTCATTCCAACACTGCCTAGATTCTGTGAGAAGCTTTCATAAAAGACTCTTTGTCCCTTTTGGGACAGATGCCACCAAACAGAGCTCTAATGACAATCCACTGCCCAGCCCTTTCTGCATGCACCCTCCATCTCATAATTGGAAAGCCAATAGGAAAAGAGAGTAGAACTATGGCAGTTTTGGATGGTGAAGTTTACTGAGTTGTTTCCTTTAGCTTCGAGAGTTACACTTACTTTAATTTGTAGGCCATGTGTAGTTTTTACCCTTAACAAAAGTACTCGAAGTCTGTTGCCTAGGATATTTTCCTTAATGACTTTCCCAGGTGGATGTAAAATAGCACAGATTTGATAAAGACATAGATAATCCTTGGTGAGATGAGAAGTTTCTAGGTCATAGTTGGGAGCTGATGCACCACAAACCTTTTCTGTCTGCACCAGCTTGACTACTTTAGACTTTCTCCAGCCAATACTAATCTTTGAGTTTTAAGGACACAGACTGTACTCTGTGACCCTAGGATTTTTCATCTCCCAGAACTTCACTTTCTTTACTTGGAACATGGGGGTAATAGTAGTTCCAACATCCTAGGATTGGTATGAGGAGTAATGGAATGGGTGAAAAACTCTAAGCTCAGTGCCTCTGGCTCACAGTGAGTATAGATCAAGTTGTCTCTTGTTAATATTTAGTCGGTGCTCTCTATAGAAGTAGATGAGGACAATCTAGGCAAATTTGCTTCTTTTGCCCTTTTAAGTGTGCTCACCCCTGCTGCTTTTCTCCTCTGGCCTTGCTTTCTCTTTGTCCCCATCGCTGTATGGACAGTGTTATCTCCCAGTGCCCAGACCAGGCACTGATTCTGAGCAGCTGAAGTCCTAGCCATCCTTCTGGGACTCTACAACTTAGGTTTTTTGGCCACTAGAATATCACTGACATCTGTAATACTCTGGCTAGTGCAGTAATGACTGGCCATTCCTTTCAACTCCATCCCTCTCTCCTTTTTTTTCTGATATTATTTCACTCCCTTTTAAAAGACAACCATATGTTGAGCAGTTCTGTATGTCTGGATAGTACTGCTGCTAGATATGCAGTAATTGGTAAAATAATATTGTTCTTATCTGCTCTAATTTGGATAGAGGGAGAGTAAATAGCAAACAAGGTACAGAATGTGATAAGGACTATGAAAGAAGACAAAGTATAACGAGGCAGTCCTGCTTAGGTAGAGGACCTTCTCTGAAGAGGTGACATTTAAACACAGGAACTGCCCCAGTAGCATGAGCTGGAACCCTGGCTTTTATTTCAGGTGTGAAGTGCCATTGGTGGCTTCTTTTAATTTTTCTCTCCTAGCAATAGATGGCTTAAGGCTTGGAGGAAACCAGACTCATGATTTTCACCAGTAATTAGTTCATTGAGTAAAAATTTATCATTGTCATCTTCTCCTTTAAATAGCTATGCATTTACTGTACACCAGGCACTGTGCATTTTACATATATTCTCTTACTTAATTCTCCAGTGACCCAAGAAAGCTTTGTTATCATTTTCTCTGTAGTCAGATATAGAAATCAGAACTCAGAGAAACTTAACACACTTGGGCACACTGCTCAGCCACAGTAATTGGGACTTGAATCTAGGTGTATCTGACAACAGAGCCTGTGCTGTCAACCCCTTGACTACAGTGCCTCCCTTCCTGTAATGTTTTAACTCACCTGCTTCTCCTTTTCCTTTGTAGTGGTGCCAGTGAAGAAGAGGACACATGAAGGCTTGGCATCCCCCGTGGAAAACCACCCCTCCCCTTGTGTGTCCATGACAGCGTGTGTGTAACGGCTTCTGATTTCTGTGAAAGCTGCCCAGCAACCAGTGTCCTTCCTCAGATATGTCCTCAGATCCACAGCAGGCACATATCTCTCCAAGAGACAACCAGTCATAGCTTACTGAGTGTGTGCTTCTCATTTTCTTCTTGTGGTAGGTCAAGGAAAGAGCGTCTTTGATCAACTGGGAGCAATTAAGAAGGGTCCTTCAGGTACCCTCCCCATGGCTGCTATGAACTTACTCAGGAAAGTCAGTCTCTGTAATATTACAGAAGTCAAAAGTATCACTTCATCAGGAAGAATCTGGAAAAATTTGGAAGGGAAGTCAGAGTTTTTGCCTACATGCAAACAAAAACCCCACCTGTTCATTCTGAAGCATGAAACAAAAGAGGACAAAATTAAGGCTGAACTGACTCATGTAGACTGTCTCTCATAGCCCATTTCTACCTGTGTGAAAATGAGTAGCATGAAGCAGGATGGATGACTTAAAAATGGAATTGGAGAAATTTAAAAGCTAAAATGATAGATATTTTTAGTATTTGAAGTTATCCAGGACTTCAGATTCATAATTCAGTGCTGTGGAAATGAAAAAAATGATTGAAGAGGTGGAAAGGAAATGACCTTAGGAAAAAAAAAGAAGTGGACCAAAGAATCTGATTAAAAGTTTAGTATTTCTGCATTCAAATTGCCTGAGCTTCCAAATAGTTACTAAAGGATCTGATAAAACTTGAATTATTTGGGTGAACACTGCAGGTTTTATGGGCTTGTCATAACATGAAAGGCTGAAATATATTTTGCCAAATGAGAAATTTCACTATAGATTTTGCCAGTCTCATTCCCAAGTACCTGATGTAGCTTATATTCAGTGTGGGAGAATTCTTGCTACTTTGTGGCTTGCTGAATTCAGCTTTCCCAGCAGATAAGCCCTCCTTTCACTCCAGCTGGAATCCTCCTTTGGCATTCCTTACCCACAGACCCTCAAATCGTCTCCTACACCCTATCTCTTTCCTCTTAAATAGCATGAGCAGTCACACCTCTCCAGGCCTTTCCCCACTCACAAATCACAATTCCTTACCTCTAAGCTTTTTACCTCCAAGGAGGCATCAACGTGCTAGAGGAATACAGAACTGCAAGTTCAGGGCCAAGGATTTAACTCAGTGGTTCCGCCACCTGCCTCACAAGTGCAAGTTCCTGAGTTTGATCCCCAGTACCAAAAAAAACAAAACAAAAAAAACTGCAGGTTCAAAAGCATGTATCTTGCTGAAACATCAGTTTTCTTAACAAATGCTTTGAAGTTAGGGGCTAGCCTTTTTATATAAAACAAAACCAGTTTATTACAGAATACAATATCTATACACATCACTATTGAGCTAAAATGGGAGACTTGGAAGATACTTTTTACAAATGGGCTATGCATTTCCTCTTTTCTGTGTTTAGTGGTATTTCCATGTTCATTTCTGAGGAATACAGTCAGCCATATCCAAGAAGCCTTGGGGTTGCTGCTAACCAAGGGCCTAGACTTCTAGCTCTTCTGAGGCAGAACCAAGGAGCCTGTTTTGAAGGAAATCCTTCTTTTCCCACTTCCCTGCTTGCCTACCTGTACCTTTGTACTTATCACAAAGCTTTAGGACCAGCTGATAATATGTTGTGCGCAGGATAGTTTTGAGGCAGAAATAACACTAGCTTACTGTAGGAGTCCTATTTATATCATTGTTCAACTCTGCATGCTGTGAAATGACTCATTCCTTTGAGCCCAGGAAGCTACTGAGTGTATATGCTTCTAGGTTAGGATTACCCTTGTTCACTACGTATATAGGGATATTGAGATTGACAGGAGTTTGAGCGGTTAAAGAAATGTTTCTCTCTCAAACTGGTGTCCAACCAATGGCTAAGACACTTTTGGTGCTTTACCTACCTAAAAAACTGGAGAATTTAGTGTGTATACCACGAGTTAAAACCTCCAACCATACTCAGCAGAACCTCCCCAAATGAAGGACCAATGGCCACTCTTCAACAAATTTAAAACATCAGAAAACTACAAAGACTTTTGTATTTGGAAGCTTGTATTGTCTTTCCCCAATAATCACTATTTGATCTTCAAATGGTAACCTTGTATTAGCAATGGACAGATCATTGGCTTTCCATACCTGATCATATGTTATTACTTTAAATCACTATTTGGGAAATCCAAGCATTTATGCAGCAGGTATAAACAGATATAAAAATATGTGCCAGCCCATCTCAATAAATTATCTTATGTCTATAATCCTCAAGAAAAGCACTTTTGCTTTTACCTAGATTTGCTTTATGGGCTCCTGCTGTCTTGAGCACCTGATAAAACTTTAACCAGGGAAGCATTAAACACAGCGCAGCAGCTTCTGCCCAGGCTCCTCAGTTCCTGCCGGCAGCATTTATCAATGTAAGAACTAGGATGCTTCCTGCAGTGGCACAGCTCTCCCCCGCCCAAAGCTGGAGCACACTGCTTGGCCTTAAGCCCCACCATGATGAAGCTCCCCTCCTGCTAGGTCAGTAAAAGTTAGAGTGCTCATAATCATGTCCTAACTGACCACAGGCAGCAGGGATTATAGAAATCCCTAGGGCAGTGGTGGCAAACCTTTGGCACGTGTGCCACAGCCATCTATTTATCATTGAAAGCCCTAAAAGCTTGGCCATCGCTGCCCTAGGGGGACATCATCAAGAAATGCAGGTAGTGAATATATCTAGAATGAATCTAGTACTGAAAGAAGTTCCTGGCTGCCTTCCAAATGTTGGTGGAAGGGATTTGTCCTTTGTTATGACATTATTAAATCCATGACAGTCCCACAAAGTACTTGAAGTCTTAGCTCTGATACCCCAGAAAGGGAAATAACTGGTGTTGAGGATTAACTATGGGCTAGTCCTTATGCCTCCCTTTATGCCTCCCTTTGAAGTTAGGTGATAAAAATAGATGTAGAGAGGAAGAGTCACTTGTCTAGAGTTGCACACTAGGAAATATTGGAGGTGGTTTTGAACCCAGCTCTCCCTGCTCTGTGGGCAGCCCTTTGCACAAATGATGGTGGTATACCTGAAAACATGGGGGAAAAGACTTCAGGTTCCCTCACTGCAGTCTGACCATCCATTTTTTGAACTTTTTCAGAGATAATTTCATGGCTGTAGTTTGGGCTTAGAAATAACATTGAGGTTCCCTTATTCCTCCACTCTAGCAGATGCTTTAAGTGCGCATTGTTGACTTGGGCCTGCCCCAGGAGTTGGAGGACCCTTTCTTTTTTGGTGCCATCCCACATGAATAATGTGTTTTTTGGCCTTCAAAAGTGAAGAACTTCAAAAATAGTAAAAATGAAGGGTATTCAGCTCTCTAACTTTATTTTAAAATATCTGCTGCTTTGTTGCCACAGGAAATTTTCATATTTTAGTAAATGTAGCCACCAGTTCTGGATTCTGAGGGATGTGCCAATTCAAAGTCAAGTGAATATATTTCTTTCCTGCTGAAAACGGGTGTGTCTGTATACCTAGATGTAAATGATAAATGCGATGTGTTTTTCTGTACACACACACACACACACTGTTTTAAGAACCAGGCAGTTCATAGCAGCCCCTCATTATCTCTCATACCACCGCAAAGGTTCCTGCCAGCCTGATTACAAGTGCCACCAGATAATTGGACCCTATGTGCTTAAAGAGTTTCTCCCTGGCAGAGGTTGTCGGCTCCTAAAGCACTGAACCAAGGAAGCAGCCCTGAAGGAAACTGCACTCCAGTCCTCCAAGATGTCTAATGACACAAGAAATTTACATACCCAGCCATTTTGGTGACCTGGGTCATTGTAGTTGGCCCTGCAGGCACAACTGTATAATTCACAACCTTGTAGTAGTGACAGAGCTTAAGAAGCCCTCTGCCCCCTCCTAGAAAATATCTTCTTGATTCTTTTTTTTTTTTTTTGCTTAAATTCTTTTATTGGTACAGTTTAGGTATACAGTATATTTACATTTATCATTTTAGGTACTTGTACCTGTACATGATGCATCTTGATTCTTAAAATTCTACCGTCACATAATGGCTGTTCAGGATATGCTTCTCCAGAAATTCAGTTGCATGTTTACTGTGTGCTTAACACATCCAGATATTTCTGCTTAAAAAGCAAAGCTCTCATGGATCACATGAGAAAAAGAAAACCTGTAGGGGAGACTCCAGATCTCACAATACTGCTTTTACCCAGCAGTGTTTCTGAAGCCCCCGCCCCCCAGTCTTTTGCAAGAGCCATAAGACCGATCCATTCCTAGGAAAGACAGTATCATTTGGGATACTGGACCTGCCTGATAAGACAGAGTCATCTGGAACTGAGAGCAAACCAGAAACAGCAGAACAAAGGCCAAAGCAGGAAAACGAAAACGAACGAAGACACATGGTTACTGGAGGTGAAAAAGCCACAAAGCCCATGCTGGACTTGATGGGCCTACAGGGCACAGCAACTTTACATCTGACCAGTCTTTACGGTGACAGGCTATACCGCACGAGTGGGTAGAACCAATGAACCCATTGTCCTCCACTTGTTTGCCTGTGCACAGTCCCATTCCCTTCTTAGTCATCTTTCTACCCTTTAAACAAGGGAACACTCAGTCTTTCAAGGGAATTACACTCTGAGTAAATGTTTCAGTATATCATTTTCATACTGTAAATTATTTTGTAAGAGATTTACTGCTATCCCAGGATGTTTGGTCTTGGCACCCCTGTGCATTTGGAAATCAATAAACCATTACTGGAAAATAACAATTTGTCTCTCGGAGTTGTGCACAAAGGACCCCGATAGATGTAAATATTCATGATGATCTGCATACTTACTGTGGTGATGATGGTATTTGGATTATTAGATGTGGGAGCCTAATTTACTCCTGACTTCCTCAGAGTGCTTTGGGAGATCTCTGGGAAACAGCAAAAGGCAAGACTGAAGATCATTATTATTTAGAGACAGGACAGGTTTTCTCCTTTAAGTAAAATGACCCATGCCTTGGTAAAACTTTATGACCAAAGTAGATTGTAACCTAAAGAATACTTTGATGTTTTCAAATAACATTTAAAGCTTTACAACTTAGATTAACTACGAAGTAAGGTCAGTCAAGTTTTAATTTTTTCTGTTTTCTAGCAAAACAAATTACAGTCAGACCAGCAAAATCATCTTTATGAAACTTTAAAAGTTATATTTTCATATAATTGTTGAAGAGATTGAATTTAATTGTAAATGAAATGATTTCAATCTGGTTGGTAATATTAAGACCAGAGATGGCACTGAATCCAGGAGTCATATACTCAGAGATCTTCAGTAGCCAACTACAAAAGCTGAAGCTAGTAGGGCTGTGTGAATTAGAAAATGTAAGCCTTACCTAAGCACGTGAAAATTCAGTGTTTAAAAACCCTAAAAGCCACCAGCCCGTTTGTATGGAAGGGATGCAGTTAGTGGGTCCTGCTGTAAATTTCCTTTCATAAAATTTATTTTCATCAGACCCTTTTAGCTGGGGACAGTGAGAACTTTGGGAAATTTGCCCAAGATATGTAGATTAGTCACTCGAGGTCATCCAGTAAATTATGCTGGTAAAGCTCAGGACAGCAGACTGTCTCCTGTAGCAATCATTAGGCCCTACTTCCTCCTCCCTAGGTGCTGGGGACACTTCTGCCACTGAGATGGCATTGCCAAGCCCGATAGCACTTGGGAGTCCAGAGTTTTAACAAACCACAATGTATTTGGAGGTTTTCTTCCCTGCTTCCTGGTGCCAGTCCTCAGCACCACATCCTGTTGTCCCAGCCCTTCTTGTTTCATTATCTTTCCCTTAGAAAATTAACTTTTTTTTAATCAATCTTTTCTCAGTGCAACTTACACATGGCGTCATTTCCTTTCCACTCATAAAAGGGTGAAATTGCAGTTTGTTTGGAGTATCTCCTGGCCCTACCAAAGCACCAGAGTAAGACGCGCCCAACAGAAAGTCAGGCTGCCAGTCTTTACTAAAAGAAGATGTCACAGCAAAGAAAACAAACATTGCTTGAAAGTAACTGGCTAAACTGAATGTCTGTACTTGTTAAATATTACAATTTCCAGCTTTAAAACAGTCGTTTTTATTAATAATAGCTACTATTTAGTGAGCTCTTTATCTAGGTCAGACACTTTCCTAGTTGCTTTTCACATTATCTTGTTTAATTCTCACATCACTAGTATCACCATCTTTCCTTTTATTGCTCAGGAATATTTAGAGAATTAAGTACTATACCAAAGTTATACCTTAATGAGTGGGAAGCAAGAATTTAAACTCTGGTTCAGTAGACTTTATAATCTCTGCTCCTCATCTGTACTGATTCCATCATGTATTGATAACATCACATCATTTTCCCTTTTCCCTTCCCCACATGCAGTATGGCCTGCGGGAAAACAAATTGGCCTTTTGGTAGCTCCGCTTTGTATAACCTGGAGAGTGCATTGTACAGTGAGAGGAAGGCTAAGGGTAGCAGTGAAATTCTCTTGTAGCCTCGAATTGCTCTTTCAGAAGGAATAAACCATTAGACTTGCTGTATCTTCTTTATTCTAGGGCCATAAATAATGAGATCACTGAATCACTATGACTTCTTTTGCCATGGTCTTAGAATCTCAAAAGTCAGCCAACTCTGACACTTAGGCCTATAATTTAAACATCTTGAAGGTATCTCCAACAGCTTTTCATTAGGTCAGCTTCATATTCTTGGAAAGAGAAGACAAAAAACTTTTAAAGTTCATTTAGTGGATTTAGCCATCACGGCCACAGGATACCATAGGATTCAGTAACAGTTCATACCTATGGTTCAGCCATCAGACAGCTCCCCTATCCATATTTCCTAAACCTAAAACCCAAACAAATGCTTTGACAATGAGTAGCTGAAATATAACTGAAAAAATCTAAGTGAAAGTACGACCCACTCAGAAATGACTGGAAGCTAGGGACCAAGCACCAAGCCTTCTGACCAGTTGAAATAAAGCAAACACAAGAGAAAAGCCATGTAGCTACCCATCAGGAACCTACCAAATCTTACTTATTCTTACTTTACAATTCTGAATTATCGTCTAGTTTCCAAACCTACAGCAGAGTAAGGGAAATAAATAGACTTCCAGAGAAATTTAGTTCAAGAAAGAAAAAGTGACAGGAGAAGTGTAATAAAGAGCTCCAGAGTCCTGTTGGGGGGGTGGGGTGCTACTGCCAAAAGAGCCTCCTGTATCATAAGGCAATAGCGTTATGTTCAAATAATGACCCTTCACACATAATCCAAATTATGCTCAGAAGAGGGCAGTAATTTCTGTAGCAAATATTTTAGAAGTGTTTATATTGCAAATGTTAAAAAAATTTTAAAGAAATATTTATATCACAAATGGTAAAAATAAAAACCTCAGGAATAAAAAGGAATAAACCTTTGACAATCTGCAACATTTTGCTAAACAAAATATACATCCCCCTAGTTGAGGTTTTATTTTTTGAGCTTTTTGTATTTAAGACGGTTTTTTCCCCCACCGCTTTATAAGTGACTTTCATGCTACAGTGCTTTGCATATAATGCCATGAACAATAGAAGTGTCAAGTTTTCAGTGTGATGAATAAAAAAATAACCAGAATACAGGTCAAATTCTGTTACAACAAATAGTGCTACTATAAAAATCGCAAGTATTTCTGTTATCTCCAGGCCCCTGTCGATTGCCCATTTATTTTAGGCAATAGTCATTACAACAAAATTGGAATATAATAAAAAGAAACTAGCCCCTCACCACAAGTTGGGTGTAACACCATTTAACCTGTAATAACAGATTCTCTTATTTCTCCAGCTCTTTGTTTCAAAAAGAATAAGCCTTATGTAGACACAATACCATCCTGGAAAGCTTGTGGTTAGTTGTTGCTAGGAGAAGGAGGAATTCAGAAGCAGAGCAAACATGGAGTTGTGTAGCAATCTCTCACTAGGGAATTTGGTCTCCAGGGCCACTTTTGACCTCAACCAGAGTTACTTGCTTCTAATAGTGATGTCATGTGTATATTAAGCCCTGGAATAAAGACATGATTCATTTCTCATGGGTCACTGAGCACTTTTGTGGTAACCTGGCCCTGATGACTCTATGATTTAAAAAATAATAATACAGAAGTGTGTGACTGAAGTTATCTTTCCTCCCATGGTGCACTTCTTCTGCATGCGTGATTGCAAAGGCATATCCCATGTCAATTATATATACAAATAATCCAAGTTAGCTGCATTTCCTTTGGTAAGTAGGCAAGGATTTTTCCATGCCTGTCCTTTTGCTGAATGAATTTTGTCATTTACTGTAACACTATCTGACTAGTCATCTTTTCTTTCTTTTACTTGAATATTTCTTATGACTTCATTGCAACCGTGTCATAACACCCTTACCAGCAGAAGGAATTAAATCATAATTCACTTCATAACAGTACCATCAGCAATAGCAAATGGAAGGGAAAGGAGAGGGAAGTTATCCACATTTTCCCAATGATCATACCTGGCTAGGGCCCCAGATTCACATCATATTCCAAGGAAGTTCATAAATTCTGGGCACTGCTCAGCTTGAGGAGGCAGGCAGAATCTCTTCCTGTCTCAGGGTGAGATGAGCAGTCTGTTGAAGGCATGACATTTACAGGATTTGTTCACCTCTGCTTGCTTGCTTCCCTAAACCAGAGCACAAACACTTCTGTGTCCCAGGCCAGGGGATCAGGTTAGGAGGAAGTGACTGCTTTGCTTGGCTCTTGAAAACACTGAGTCCAAGTATCCAGCTTCGGGGTGGCCATTTGCTGTGCACAGCTTTTATTAGGACATCTGGAGGTTAGAGGTGTTAATTGGAGCCAACTTTTCTGTATTTGGTTTCTCCTCGCATATTGTGAGACCTTTTGGACCCAGTTGGATGGCTATATCCTAGTATCAAATTCAACCTATTCCAATAGGCAGAACCACAGTAGAGGAAAAGATCACTCTTAGAATTGGTGGTAGTAATGGTGGGAGCATTAGAGTTGGCTTTGGAGGGATAAAGAAACCACTGATAACAATAGTATTGGGTATTTTATCTTTTAGAAATATATAATAAATTGTTGTAAACTATAGTCACCCTTTTTGTGCTTTAGTAATCACTTTTCTATTAGTAATCTTTTTTTTTTTTTTGGTACCAGGAATCGAACTTGGGTCCTTGCACTTGTGCAGCAGGTGGTCTATTAGTAATCTCATAATCACCTTTCTATTCTCTACTTCTATGAGATCAACTTTCTTAGTTTCTACCTATGAGTGAGAACAAGTATATTTGGCTATGTCTGACATTTCAGTGTCCTCCAGTTCTAACCATGTTATGCAAATGACAGAATTTTATTCTTATAGTGGCTGAAGCACACAAGTATCAAATTATGACCCTATAGCCTACAAATATATACAATTAGGCATCACTTAAAGTTTTTAAATGTGTATTTTCTCAATACTTAAGCCCATTTTCCATTTGCTAATAAGTGGATCTGATCAGTTTCTCCCAAATTCCCTCTAGAAGATACTGGCTTATGTGATGAAATAAAGGGATTCTGTTTGAGATCATATCTAGCCCACTTGTGACCAAACTATACTCAAAACAAGATTACATACTCAATACAGGTTGTCTGTTTGGCCTTCTCCCCCACCTTTGGCATGAGGTCAAGATGTGTAGGAAGAATTAAGTCCCCTAGGGATCTGCCATTGTATATGGTTGGATGGTAGACGGAAGCCAAGGTTTCTAAAAGCAACTGTCTTTTGCCCTTTCTGGGATGTTAAGAAAATCCATCTGGAGTGTTTATGCTCCTCCTGATAGCCAAGCCATAGGCTTTCTTTTATATTGTGCTACTGAGGCCCGTCACTGCCCTCAGCAAAGACAATTTCACCATGACTTACTTTCTAATAATCACTGGAACGGTCTCATGAGGACATGCACAACTGCTGTCTATCCTCAGCCCTGGCACAATGTCAAATGGCAGGGCTTGCAGAGCAAACGCGAGACCTGGCTTAGTTCACAAGGCAGTCAGAAGTGATCCAGAGTTCAGGCTTCCCCCTGCCTTTCATTCTCCCACCTCCTTCCTCCACTCCTCCTCCTCTTCTTCCGGTCTCTCCATCTGGAAACCATGAGCCTCCAGGCACAAACGCTCAGATTTCAGATGTTTGGGAGGTTTCTCAGCTTGGATCATTCTTCAAGTGTAAGAAGATTCAATTTGGGAGAAAAAACAGCTGAGATCCTTTTACTGAAGAGAAAATAAATAAGGTGTGGTGTGTATCCATCCTCTCATCAATTCAGCTCTAAAACCACACATGCTGTCTAATCTCAGAAAAAGTATTTGGATTCCCCCCAGGGGAGGGAACAGAATGGAAAAACAAATTCTCCACTCCTAAAAACTTACTTATTTCCCTTCTGTGGTATAAACACAACTGGCATCTCGGATAATACAATGTAATTCATTTTGCGTGTATTCATGGGGGAAGAAAGGGTCTCTAAGGGGTAGACCTAAGAGTAATGGAATGAAGCAAAAAGTAAAATATAGACTAAAATTGTTGGGAAAAAACTGTTAACATTATGAACCACTTAACCCTAGTGTTGCATTACTAGGAAGAAGAGCAATGTGCCATCTTCTGTCTTTGGAAAAATGAATGAACTTGCTCTCAATACTGGATTTTAGAAGCAGATAGACTTGGTTCTAGTACAGCCTCTGTCTTTTACTAAGTGAGGAATTACATGAGCAGGGGTTAGTACAGCACCTGACACACAGTAAGCACTTAAAAATGGTAGCTAGCGATTATCATTTACTGTGCTGCCGATGACGCATCAAAACAAAGTCCTCTTTAGAATGAGGTAGATGGAGCATGCTCTCAAGCTGCCCTCCATTGAGCTGCTCTGCTCAGCTTTAAAATCCTCCTCAAGGCTATGTCATGGTCCTCCCTACCACATCGCCCTGTTACACTTTTCGTATCACTTGTAAGGCATTCAAATCATCTTATGTATTTATTTCTTCACATGGTTAAGGTCTGAAACTCCTTGAAGGTTATATTATTTGCTCCTGTGTTACAAGACTGACAAATTTGCCGGACACAGAATAGCTGTTCAAACGATACTTCTGGTCTTACTGACTCCCTTTCAGATCCGGAATTGCTCCAGACACTATATCCAGATGCAGAAAACTAGAAGACATCTTTAGCTACATCTGCCCCAGCATGAGTATCTGAAGCAGCTGCCCCCACCTGCTCTTCCCAGAAGAGAGAAGAGAGCTAGAAAATCTAACTCCTGTCCCTATCCTGTCACTAACAAGCTGTGGGAGCCCTTAGCTGGTTGTGCTCTCTCTTGCCACACTCCTAACATGAGGAGTAGAGTCAATCAAGTTGGAGGATCCTCAGAGCTTTCCAGCTCCAACATTGTAAGCTCTTAGTGAAGTAAGAAATGACAGCAGGAACATGAAGATGCTTCCTCTTATGCTTTTTTTCCTCTCTGTGTAAGTACATTGCTGTGTGCATGTGTGTCCATAGATGAGTACACAGGAGTGAGTATTTGCACAGGTATGTACGTTAGTATGTAGGTGCATGATTTTGTGTGTGTGTTTGCATGTGCTGGGGTTATGCCAGGAGAACCAGATTCATACGTGGACTATATGGAAAGCAGCATTTCCCCCAAGTATGCACAAACATGAAAAATTACTGTCCAGTAAGTTGGGAAATAGACAAGTGGGCTGAAATACACTTTCTTCCTGAGGAACTTCTCAAAGGTGTTCATATCTTCATGTGCACTGTGAAGATTCAGTGTGATAATATCCTGGGTATTCATGGAACAATGTGAGGACACAGCAGGATGAAGGTACCAGGTAAGCCTTGTTCATGGGTGGGTCTCTTACCCTTAATAAACACTGACATCCATTTTCTAGACTGGGAACTTGACATGTAAGTTCATCAAAGATGGGAGTTTGTATCTGCCGTCTAACAGAGTAGACCACGAAGCATTCCCGTGTCACCTCCAGCATGTGAGCCTGGAGGACATAGAAGGACCTGGAGGGGCCCTCACAGACATCCTGCAGCGGGCAGCAGCATGTGGGTGGGAAGTGCCGCTGAGTGAGGTGTGCACATCAGCAGGATTAATGACTTGGTACCCCTCCACACAGCTCTTAACGTACTGGGTCAACATTTATTTAAAGGACAGAATGGAGGCAGGTGGGAGAGGGTGTTGGAGGCTATATCTCTACCTGCACACCACTCTCAAAAGCAAAGCCCCTGACCTGCTTTAAGAAGACTGTTTACTGACCGTCTGTTGTTATTCTAGCCTATGCTTTTGGGGGTCTCACCCCACTCACTCCCAAATGGCTTTCAAAGTATTTCTTCCAACTGCACACAGTTATTTCCTCTACACAGTTTTCACCACTGCATTACAATTTTAGTGAAGTTTTCACACCACCATTCCTCCCATCTCAGCAGACTAGCCATGGGTCATGTGTGATATGCATGGGGCTGGTGATTCAGTGAGGACCTGTTCCTCATACAGAAAATGTGTGCAACACCCAGATCACAGCACTCCCCGCATGGTCATGGGCTGTCTTGAGCAGAGTTCATGCCCTTACAAGTAAGAAGAGACACGAGGGTGCTATTTTCTTAGGCGATTATTAGACCCACTGGAATGCAACAAGAGGATTTAGCAATGGTAAAGAATAAATATCCTCACTTGCTGGGACAGCTGTCCTTGCCCCACCTCCTCCCTCTCACACCCTTCTTCAGCTTCCACCTACTCTTTTTCTCCCAGGGACAAAGGAGCATCATCCAAATTACTTTAAGGACAATAAACACCCTCAGACAAAGCTAATGCCTGAGTGGTTCCCAGCTCTCACCATGGTGTTTCACACCTATAAATGACTCTGCTTTTTAAGAGTGTATGACACCAACTATGGCCTTTAATTGGATCAACCCACCATCCCATTCCATAATACTGTGTGCTGGTGAGACAGAACACAGAGACAGCCAGTGTTATTCAGCAGTGGTTAAATAGAACTACTGGGTTAACTGAATTACAAGGGTTGCATAGACATAGCTGGGGTGAAATACTTCCGTGACCTTCAACTTGGGTCTTTATATCAAAACCAAACTCAAAGACTTGTTGATGAAGACTCAAGATGTTGGCATGTACAGTTTCTAATTGACTTCCTTTTCCCATTGATATGATCAACTTCACCAACCCCAGGGGCTACCTATTACCCATGCATAGTGATGGTTTCTCTTGGAAATAATGGGAATATAGATTCTGGATCAGAATACCTGGGGCTGTCCTTTACTAAGTCACTGTAAGTAAATAACTTATATGCCCTATACCTCCATTTTCTCCTTTATAAAATGGGAATAATAACATCATACTGGACTGATGAGAGAATCAAACATGATAATGTTTGGAAAGTGCTTAATATTGGGCCTGACACATCGCCCTCAAAAAATAAATAGTTACTTCCAATATTAGTGTTATTATAAATTGGTGATGTATCAAAACAGATTTTTGAAGGGGAAGTTTGCAATATCTAGCCTCATTTCTAGACGTCTCTAACGGAAAGAAATATGACACGTGTACTAGTTTTTTGCATAAGAATATTCATGTTGTGTTTTTTAATGACAAAAATATGATGATGACCTAAATATCCATCAACAGGGGACTAACTAAGTATCTTAGAGTCCATCCATGTGGAGGAACACTATAAAAAATCAAGGGTAGGTTTCTCACTCCCTGCTCAGCCAGCCAACAATGCTTCTAAAATTCATTGTGGGCTCTGCGTTTAGATTGACAATCACAGCTTTCATTCCTGCAATCACAGAACATTCTCTGGGTTGCTAATGAGATGATGATTTTGTTTTACTGAGAAAAGTGAGTTTGCATCACTTCAGCCAAACTGAAGAAGTACAGCCCTGAAGAAGAAAGAGATGGAGGAACTCAGGTGAAAGACGCCCTGGTTCCTAGCACAATCTTATCTTCATACTGTCACCTTTAAGTCATGGGACCAGTAGAATGGAAAAAAGTGCCTTAAGACCTTGACTTTTGGCCATTAGTTAACCCTCCTTAGAGCTTCCTGCTGTGAGAAAAATGAGAAGTTCACCTGCTAGGTAGGCCATGTTCAAGCAGCGAGATGTAATGGCCTTCCCTATCCTTTGTGCCTGTCCAACCCCAATCCTGTGGTCTGCTTCGTGGTGAAGGTTGGGAGTAGACACAGGTCCCTCAGCCACCTTGCTGCTCTCTAACCTCTCCTGTTACCTCTGATTGCTACTAACGAGCAGCACTGATCACATCCCTACCCACAAGCAAGAGCTTTACTCTTATTCTCCAAGATTCCTATATAGTGTGGGTTCTTATTGCTATCCCAGGACTGCTTAGTGCATCCTTTTCCCAGCACCTCCTTCTACCTTCCAGAAGCAGGCTGAATTTCATTCCATTTTCATAAAAGAAGAGGAGAAAATGAAGACCATAAGAAGCAAAAGAATTGTAATTCTGGATATTCATCATACCCTAACTGTACCTCCTATTATAGTGGTCTGGTTACATATGTATGAGTCCATTTTGCCTTTGAACCTTTAAAGCTTCTCTTCCTTGCACTGGAGAGGCAGAACCTGAGAAGCCCATTGTGGCCCATAGAGCTTAGAGTATGAAAGAGACGATGAATATGGACACAAATTGGAAAAGTGGAGTTGTTATGCGATGAAGAGCGAGCTTGCGGGACAGGCAGATCCAAACCCTAGCTGTCCTGAAGGGAGATTGTAGTCCCCTCACAAAGCATTCTCCATTGTAAGTCAAGCCTGACCTTCCTTCTTGCTCTCATTTCAGGACACTTTTTCATGCACAATGGCACCTACAAATGAAAGAGTCAAGACTGAACCCTCTGCATCTCCTCACTCTTGTCCCTGTAACCAATGTTCCCAACAGGAATCACATTCCCCCCATGCAGTACCAGCCCAAACCAGCAGGGGTCTGACATTAGTTGCTTTTAACCCAAAATGACCATCTCGGCTCCGATGGCTGTGAATGAACCTGAGGTGAGGAGCTAGCAGCTTTGACTGGTGGGAGCAGAACTCACAGGTATAAATAATGCATCCATATGTGTAGTGAGACTCTGAGCAGCCCAGGCCACAGAGCATTGATCTCCCTTATCCACAATGAAGGTTTAATCTAGTTTTCATGTTTACTCAGAAAATATATTCATAAAGAGAGCCACCTTAACCCAGGAGCTTGGATCATCAAGATTCCTGTCTGAAACAAGCCGCCAATTTCTGTTTGGTCCCTAACAAAGATGCCATGTTGACCAAAAGTGATATAATAAAAAAGATAGTGCCTCAAAAAGCAAGTTAAATGTCTCCAACTTATAGGCCTCATTTTCAAGAAAAGCATGATGTGTTTGGTATTTCTGGATCATTCTTTAGATTGGTGTTTCAAACTGTGAGCGCAAGTCTTTGCGCTGCCTTTGAGTACATTTTTATTGTGGATTATTATTAGTTACAATTGTGAAATACCTAAAAAAGTACTGTGCTTTCCAGTTTTTAAAGTCATTTCACACACATTACCTTAGGTGGTCTTTTCTTGAAAGAAATTATGGGTATCATTTTACAGCCAATGAAATTGAGGCTCAGTTGAAGAAAATTGCCTGAAATCACATAGCTAGTAGTAGCAGAGCTGGAAATTTCCACGCCAATGAAGCAATTAAAGTCCATATGTATTGAGGGATTTTCACACATGCAAACATTTATATAATGCAACCCTAATATGAATTATACCTTTTTCTGCAATTAACCTGATTTTACATATTGTCATCTATTTATATCTTGTTGCTCTGCTAGACAGCAATAACTGTCATTTCTTTAAATTATGGAATGCATACTTTTTACATTCCTTCCCTTCTTATACCCCTGCTTTATATTCTGCTTTTCTAGGAGATGGCAGGAAGTGGCAAGAATCCAACCTATCCACATTCAAAAGCATATCTTCAACAGGCTGTCAGACAGAGAAAATCCAACTGCTTTCACCTTCACCACAACCTGAAGAGCGAGGTACTGTTATTTTTCTAGATGAGGAAGTAACTCTTAGGCACAGAGAAACTGGCTTCCCCGACTTCACACAACTGTATGTATAGTCCTGGAGCTGCGATTTGTACCCAGGCAACCTGATCCCTACCTGGCTCACAAAAACCACGGACACCAAGTGCAAAACCCTCCTGACTTGCCCCAGAGGAAGGACTCCATGACTTCTCTGCAGGAACCCAGGGTAGTTGTGAGGGCTAAACAAAAAGGAATATGTCACTATACCTTGGAAAGTAAGGGATCATGTTACAGGTTTTTAAAAAGTAAAATGCAATGTGATTCAAAAGAACTGTATAGACATGATAATGTTGATGCCAACCCCTCTGAGCTGCTCTTTATCTTAGAATCTCTCTTCATTTTATCCCCTCCCTTTTATTTACAGGTTTAAGGGCTCTAAATATAATTGAGGAACACCACCTTGAGCCTAGGTGGTTATGGCTGCCACACGGGAGAGCTGGCTTTGGTGATCTGTCAAAGCACCAGCGTTAGTTGCTGTAGACTGAGAATTTGCTGTGTGTAGGCATTCTGCAAGCTGTCTCTAAAGCAGACACTTGAGGTTGCCCAACCCTACCATGTCAGCTTCCTCTGCTTGAGGCGCTGGATGCGGGCAGCCCTCTCCCACGGGCCTCCATTACCCCACCCTGCCTTCCTGCTCCAGGCTCAAACTGATTGGTCTAAACCAGTGGTGGCAAGCCTAAGGTACACGTGCCTCAGCAGGCTGTTTGTATCACTGAAAGCTCTAAAATGTTCACCATCACTGGTCTAAACCTTAGACTCTATTGTAAGTCCCATGCCTTTTGTCCTGAGTGGTTCAAAAGTAAGCATGTGACCCACAGGGGCTTCTGGAAAGTTTCTCACTCCCACAGAAAGTCACAATCAGATCCAGCCTCTCTTCTTGGAGACAATACTTGCATTGACCTGCATTGACCCTGTGGCCTGAGAAGGAAGCAGGAGCCCAGTCTGAGCAAGTTAGCAACTTAGCCAGACCCTGTCTCAAAATAAAACATAAAAAACAACTGGAGATGTAGCTCAGTGTGAAGGGGCTGGTTCATTCTCCAGTACTGGGCGGGGGGGAGCTTACCTGAGCTACAAAGCAGAAGGCAATGCAGCCTGTGTCCAAAGCACTCTGATGTAAGCCTGCAGTCCTCATTGCAACCCCACCAAGGAATCTGTTAAGGCCCTTCTGCAGAGGAGGAAACTGAGGCAGGCAGAGGGTCAGAATAAATCACTGAGTAAGTAACTGAACTGGAATTTAACCCAACACAGATCTGTTTACCTTTACAACCTGGTCTGCTCTTCATCTCATCTATCTGTCTGCTTGTCTGAGTGAGCGAGAAAGACCAGGAGCCTCTGCACTGGTCAGGCCAGTGGCCTCACCCAACCAGGCACACCTGCTGCCTCCCTCCTCTCCTGTCTTCGGCCAGTTGCCTCTGCTCAGGATGCCTTCTCTCTAGTTTGGATTTTAAATCCCTCCCAAAGGCCCATGTTAAAGGCTTAGTTCCCAGGGTGGTGCTGTTGGGAGGTGGAGAAGTCTTCTAGAGGTAGGGCCTTATTGGAAGTCCTTAGGTCCTTGGGGGTGTGCTTAATGGGGTAGGGGGATCTCTGCCCTTTCCCTGTGCTGGTTTTACCCCCACCCCCACCCCCACCCAGGCCATGAGGTGAGTTCTTTTGCCCTGCCACACACTCCTCCTGTGATGTGGTCTCACCACAGTCCCCAAGGCCAAATGTTTATGGACTGAAATTCCCAAACCTGAGCCAAAATAAACCTTTCCACGTTCTAAGATGACTGTCTCAGGTATTTGTTACAGTGATGAAAAGCTGACTACCACGATGTCCTTGATTGTTCTCTTCAACCCCTGAAATTCTTTCTATCCTCCAAAGCCCACCTCTAGGTTGGACTCTGCTATGCCCATGAAACAGACTAGATCTGCAGTCCACACTAAGCTCTGAGCCTGGCTTCTGAACTCATCATTTGTGCCCTAACTTTGGCAATTTCTAAGTTTGTGTCATTCTTGAGGGTTTTAATTCGTCAATTTTTGACTCATCATTGACCATTAAGTCTTCCTGGGACCTATTTCTGGCATGTACATCTCCCTATCTTAAAGAATTAGGTCTGACATCAGGAGGTACTTTGTTCCTTCCAGGAATTGCACTGTAGTTCTTAGTCCCCACCCTGTGAGCCAGACTAGGCCCCTCTTTAGTTCCAGGTATACTGGTTTGCATGATCTTTGCTCAGGCTGTTCCCACTGACTGGAGTGCTCTTCCTGTCTGCATGTCTACCCTGTGCTGTTAATTTATGTGTGTGTCTTATCTCCTCCAATGGCCTGGGGATCCCATGAGGGAGACACTAGTTATCCTCATCTTGACATTCTTACAGCAACTAGCACAGTGCTGGCCTATAGATGTTCAATAGATGTTTATGAATGAATGAATTTTTCAGTGATATGAAAAGGCTGTATTCTCATGACCAAGGGAAAATCTCTTCTTTGGAACATTCTCCTAACAAGGTAGTAAATACAATCGGGGGTCTCACACTACTTAAAGCTATTTAAATGACTTGTTGGCCTCTCCCATGTGTTTTTAGTGAGATTTTAATTTTGGTGCTTGCCCATAGGCAGTATTGAAAGCTCCATATTTTCTCTTTACATCCAGTAAAGTGATAAATGAAACCCAGGATGTCCACAGAAGGGGCCAACTCCACCCCCTCCTCCCAAATATAAAGGCCCAGTCAAGAGTCAGGGAACCTCCGCCTCCTGTAGTTTCTGAACTAGATTTAGACTGTTTCACTTGGGGGTGGATGGTTCTGGTGGATAATTGAAATCCAAACACCTCCATTGTGCTTGACAGCTTTGATCTCTCCTAATTGGATGTTAATAAGTTGGAAATTTAAAACACTGAAACTTGGTCTCCTCTCCCTGCCTTAAGCCCAGCCAACAAAGAATGGAAAGTCAAATTTCAAAAGGCATAGAAAGATTGACACTGAACAAAGCTCCCATCCACCTATTCCCATCCCTCTCAGCCCCTGAGGTACAGCAGTAACAATTGGAAATGATTCATGTGTTAAGAAAGTCCAACTGGAGTGGTTAGGAGTATAGGCGCTAGCAGCACCAGGCTGAGGTCAAGTGCAGGTTCTACCACCTTCACCCGCAGACACTGAGCAGGGTTCTGAGCCCTCAAAACAGTGTTTATCCTCTGTAAAACCAGCTTCACAAGGGTCTGGACCAAGGTCCTAAATATGAAGATGATCCACAGTGCCGGGGATTTAGCTTAGTGGTTCCGGTGCCTGCCGCACAAGTGCAAGGTGCTGAGTTTGATCCCCAGTACCAAAAAAAAAAGATGATCCATAAACCGTTTAGGGTCTACACAGGCTCTGGCCTTCTTCCTGCTGCAGTCTCCTCTTGCAAACAGGGTGGGTATGGAAACCACCCTCTCTACTCTGCCCCACTTTACCCCGAGGCAGAAAGAGGCAACACAGGGGACTTGTTCCTCTTTTCCTCTCCTCCTCCAGAACTCAAGACCTGTTTAGCTGCACATGCGCCATGGCTCACTGCCCTCACCCAAGGTGCTACTGAGAGTAGTTTGTTTGGCTTGTGGGATTTGGAGACAGATTTCTGGGATTTGAATTCCAGCTCAATCTAGGATGTCCAGTTGCCCAAGTTTGTCCTGACTGTCCCAGTTTTAGCCTTGCCATTCTGGTCATGAGCAGAGCAGGACATTTGGTTATCCTCGACTCTGACTTATGTCACATTTCTGTACCTTGAGGATTTGAGCCAGTCTAAAATCACCCTTGGTAGTTGGAATGAAAGAACTGAAGGATTGACGCATCCTGTCCCAGAGACTGAGCCAGCATTAGGGGTCTGCTCTAACCTGTGTGTACCGCTTTCAGACTGACCTGCTCCTGGTCAGAGCCATCTTTTCCCTTGGGGTGGAGGTAGCTTTACCATGACCATAACTAGGGCACTCATTAAGCATACACCCTCACCTTGGCTTGATCTTGCTCAAATCCCAACTCTTCTCAGGCTAGAATGAGGCCAAGGACAAAGGAGGCAAGTGGAGTTGAGGGCAATGGGAAACGTTCTCCCTAGGAGACCAGGGGAGGGTTGGAAGAAAGGGGAAGGTGAACAGAAATGGGGTGGTTGCTTCTGTTTAACGAGAGCAAGGCCCTGTCTTTCCGGGAGTGCATCAACAGCACTAATGAGCCTGAAAATCAATCCTTATTGCTCGGCCGGGTCAGCCTGCAGCCCAGCTTTATAGCTCCTCACCCTACAGGGAGCTCTTGAGTCACCCTGCCAGATGGCCACTTCCCACTAATGTGAAAGGAGCAGCCGCCGCATGCTGGGCCCCAACTTCTGCCAAGGTGGCTTTCTGCTTTTACTGTGAGCTCTTTTCAGAGTGCCAGGGGTTTGGAACTTTGAAATGATGTTTCTAGATAAAAACAGTGTCAATATCTCCATCTTTCATATGTATATAAAGGAAGATCCAAGCCAAAAAATCCAAAGGATTTTTACAGCATCTCACAGCTGGTGTAAAGTAGCAATTGAGAGCAATGGTCTTCAAACTCTATCTCGAAGACCCATCAGAAAAATGACTCTGAACAAACCTCCAGTATCCATATGTAACTCATTTGTAAATTAGAGCCATAACTATTTATTAATATATGAAGCATATGACAAAACATGAAAGCAGATGTTAGAAAGGAGAGCTGGGTGTGATGGTACAGCTGCAATCCCAGCTACTTAGGAGGCTGAGGTGAGAGGATCGCAAGTTCAAGGCCAGCCTGAGCAACTTAGTGAGACCCTAGCTCCAAATAAACAAAAAGGGTGAGGATGTGGCTCAGGGCTAACAAGCCCCAGGGCTCAATCCTCGGTACCAAAACCAAAAAAGGAAAGAGACCTAGGTATAAACCAAAGGTCCAATACTTGTTTTCTCACCCCAGCAGACCATCCTGTACTGTTACTGAAGTGGGCATGTTGGAGACACAAGCCGAGTGTCTGCTAGAACCAGGCAGGCAACACAAATGAACAGAGTGGACTAAGTGTAAAAGAACCAACTGTCCAGGCGAGATGAGAAATGGCAACAGGTTCTCGGCTCTGTATTAAGCACAAGAGAGAATGGTGCAGACTGTGGCAAAAAATGAGAGCAAATCTCCTGCCTAAAGAGAGCAGCTGCCTCTCAGTTTTAGGCAACAGTTGCCATCTATGAATGGTTTCCAACTTTCCATCATTTCGATAGACGTCAGATATCTAGCTGGCCATGGTGGCACATACCTGCCTGTAATCCCAGCATTCTGGGAGGCTAAAGCAGGAAGATCAA